TCCTGGCTGCTCCACTTCCCACCCAGCTCCCTGCTGGTGGCCTGGAAAAGCAGGAGAGGATGGCCCATAAGCTTTGGGACCCTGCACCCATGAAGGTGACCTGGAAAAAGCTCCTGGCTTCTGGCTTCAGAGTGGCTCAATTTCAGCCATTGCAGCCATTCAGGGAGTGAACCAGCAAATGGAATATGTTTCTGTCTATCCTTTTCTCTGTAAATCTACCTAACAAATAAAAAACAAATAAATAGGGCCCGGCGCGGTGGCACAAGTGGTTAAAGGTCCTCGCCTTGCACGCCCGGGATCCCATATGGGCGCCGGTTCTAACCCCGGCAGCCCCGCTTCCCTTCCAGCTCCCTGCCTGTGGCCTGGGAAAGCAGTCGAGGACGGCCCAAAGCTCTGGGACCCTGCACCCGCGTGGGAGACCCGGAACAGTCTCCTGGCTTCGGATCAGCATAGTATCGGCCCGTTGTGCTCACTTGGGGAGTGAATCATCGGACGGAAGATCTTCCTCTCTGTCTCTCCTCTCTGTATATCCGCCTTTCCAATGAAAAAATAATAAAAATAAATCTTTAAAAAAAAAAAAAAAAACAAATAAATAAATCCCTAAAAAAAAACCCTTGCCTTCTGGGGCTTTGGTTGTTTCTCACTGCCCACTAAGCCTCATTTCCCTATTTGACCACAGCACACTTCATAGCCACCCAGAAGTTGCGCATGAGTGGACAGACCACCACTAGAGAGGTCTCTCTGCTGTCTCACTAGTCACTCTCATGGACTAGTCACCCACCCTGCCACGGAGAGGCCCAGCCCAGTTGTGACAGTCCCAGGAGGTGAGTGGCAGAGGTTGACCTGCATCTCCTCAGCATGTGCTCCTGCCCCTGCAAAGACATACCCGCTCCAAAGAATGCCGTTCTCTGCCAGAATCGGCGAGCCCCATCTGCGCTCACTGGGGAGGGGTACAGGGGCTACCTCTTCATACACAGCAGTTGCAAGGCTCCCCAAGCACCCTGACCCCAGTCTCAGGAGATTGCATGGGACACCATGGGGCCTCCCGTGTGCTGTCTGCTCTTCTGCTGCTGCTCTCTTGTTACTATGGATTTCCCTCCACAGTATTTCTGAGTTTATTTTAAAACAAACTCCTTTACTCTGGTTTTCTCATGTATGAGCAGTAAAGAAAAGTACATATCATCAATCCATCATCTGTAACTACCATTGCTCTTATTTCTCAGGTATCTTCCAAGAGATTTAAATTCACAAAATTTATCCTCTGCTTCCTGCATGTCCAGGATGGACAGCTATCAGGAAACAAGCGACAACCAGCCTTTCCTCCCTCCTCTACTTCTTCCCCAAGGGAACACTTACAGATGCCTTACCTGAGGAACTAGACTGACGTGGATGTTACAAAAGTTCTCCCTCTTGACCTTGAACTGGAACTGGCGGAAGGCCTCGATAAATGGCATGCTTTCTATATCCCCCACTGTTCCGCCAAGCTACAAGGAGAAAGTCGTCGCAGAGGCTCAGCTCTGAACCTGTCTCTGGCAGTTCAGCTTCCCTCGGCTGCTCAGACATCTCAGTTCAGCAACCGCAAGAGCCTGGCCAACACCCCAGCCCTGTACACCATCAGTTAACAACAGTGAGAGGTTCCTTTGTGTTAAAAGGTCACCACGGGCTCAGCAGTACCCGAGATCATGATCTTTCCACCCATTTCAACAAGGTCAGAAGCAAAAGGGACCTGGACCAGTGTAACTTTGGCCGTGTGAGTATCCCAGCCACAGCAGCTATCTCCCGTTTCTGATGGAATGCTAGGCTCCCAGTACAGGGAACAGCACAGCAGGAGCACAAAAACCAAAACCAAAGGGTGATCAGAGAGAAACACTATGGCAGTGCCCAGAAAGCACAGCTACTTCCTCAAAAGACAGGTGAGAATGTGCCATGCCACTTTCCCCAGTATGTTAGTCACGTGTCCTCCATGCATGGCCATTCCGCACCACCATCACAGGGCCCACACCTGCTGCCCTGCAACATAGGGCACAGTCTGAGGCAGCAAGGGCCAAGGCTTCCTGGGAATGGTCTCACTGGCTGCTGGCTCTAGAGATGCAAGAGCACACCCACAGACATGAGCATACATCATACAAACCTCAATGACACAAACTTGAGGTTCAAGGCCATCTTCGTCCACAGGTATTAGTGCTTGCCTCATTACCCACTCCTGGATCGCATCTGTGATGTGAGGCACAACTGGGAAAAGAAAAAGAAATCCACAATTCACACTGCTCCACTTTCCTGAAGCAAACACATTTACTGTTCAAATGAACTGCTTCTCCCTTGGCAGGGACACAGCGGTGATGAGTGCATAAACACATTTTGCAGCCCCCAGTGAACAGCTTCAATACATTTCTGGGCTCCCACTCCTTCTCAGACTTCTGATTTCCAAGTTGTACGAGAAAGGAGCAAGCCCAACAGTGGGGTCCTGTGCTACCTTGGAGCACAGGCCCCTTCGTGCAGAGCCACACACCAACACAAAGGATAACACGGTCACCCACATCACTGACGGCCAAGGCTGCAAGCAGGCACACCACAACCAAAGGCTTTTCCAGCAGAGGCCCCAGGACCCTGCTGTGCCACCTGCAGTTTGTAAAAAGTATGACTATCCAGACGCTGCATAGCAACACAGGGCACTGCATGAGGCACGAGAGCATCCAGTTTGAAGCTCAGCTCCCCCATGCAACAAAGACCCATTCTGAGGCTTGATTTCCCCATCTGCCTCCTGAAGTTGTGCGGCTTTTGAGAAACATCTGTAAAATGCACATCAGAGTGCCTGGCGAACCAGTGCACCAGGAACACCAGCAACAATGCAGCACTAACTTTCGCACGGTGCCACACTAGGCTGCCAGCTCCTGGGAGTGGAGACTTCCGCTCAACTCCAGACTGCTAAGTTAATGGGCAGTACCCTGAGCGCAAGGATAGTCAATCCATTCCACAGAGGCCAAAGGGATCTCCCCAAAAGGCCAATCTGAATTCATCATCCCTATATCTGAACTTTCCACTGGCTTCCCACTACTAGTGAAACCCAGGCCCTTTGCTGTAATCAGGAAGACTATCTGTACCCCACCGTGGCTCATCTCACCCACCTCCAACTGCCCCCTGGACCATGCCTGAGCCACAGAAGCCTCTCCACCCAACTCTTCCTAGGCCTGGAAACCTCCTTCTGAGGACCTGCCCCTCTCCTTGGGGGCCACCCTGCCCACCTCTCCAATGTGCCTTTCCCCAGTCCCGCTCCTCCTCCTCATTCCATTTCCTTCACAGCTCTGGGAAGGCCTCTGTGTCACCTGTTGGTTTTGTCTCTGCTACAGATCACTTCCCTGAGGACAATGGCCTCACAGACCTTGTTCCTCATAAATGCCAGGCACCAGGAATCGCCTGACCAACAGTGAGCAGCCAACAGATATCTGACGAATGATAAGCAGATGAGGAATGCATTTGGAGCTGAGAACAGCAAACCTGGATCAAATCCTGTCAGCTCCAAGCTGGTCTGTGTCAGGATCTCAGGGAACTACTTACTGACACAGGTCCTTAAGCTCCCCAATGACCTGGAAGCCCAGCTATTTGCCTCCCCATTTCACAGAAAAGGGAACCAGACCACCAAGACACTCTACGTAAAGTGCTCACAGTCAGAGCTGGCAAGTGACAGAGCTAACACCTAATCATGATCCAATCAGCCCCGGGTCAGCCAGGACTACCCCAGCCAGCTGTCAGTGTGACTCTAGATCCCAGGCTGTGCAAGTCTGAAGCCAAGAACAGATTTGTTCTCATAACTCAGACGAAGCCACTTTACGGCAATCCCCAAACCCGAGCCACAGCCAGCATAAGAAACCAGGGACTTGCTAACAGCATGACTTCAACTGCTATTTACTCATTTTTATGTATTCACCAAGCAGAAACAGGAGATCCTCTATCTACTGGTTCATTCCCCTAAATGCCTCAGGAACTCCACCTAGGTGGGAAGGCACTAAGCATTCCTGGGGTAAGTTTTAGCAGGAAGCTGAAACAGAAGCAGGGCAGGACTCACCCCCAGGCTTTCCAATACAGGATGCACATGTCCAGCAGTGCTTCAACCTGTTGGCTATACCCGCCCCAGGGAACAGTCATCTGACGCCTGCATCCCAGACTGCAGTGCCAGGGTTCAACTCACATGCCGCTTCCCACCCAGCTTCCTACTAACTTGTACCCTGAGAAGTTGTATCGGCTACTTTTAAAAAATATTTTAAGTAGCAGATGGGCCTGGCACAGTAGCCTAGTGGCTAAAGTCCTCGCCTTGCACGCCCGGGATCCCATATGGGCACTAGTTTATATCCCAGATGCTCCACTTCCCATCTACCTCCTTGCTTGTATCCTGGAAAAGCAGCAGAGGACGGCCCAAAGTCTTGGGATCCTGCACCCATGTGCGAAACCTGATAGAAGCTCCTGGCTCCTGGCTTTGGATCAGCTCAGCTCCAGCCTTTGCAGCCCCTTGGGCTGTAAGCTAGTGGATGGAAGATCTTTCTGCCTCTCCTTCTATCTGTAAACTGACTTTCCAACAAAAATAAATAAATCTTAAAAAAAAAAGTAGATAAAATAGCAGAAAACTTTCCTCAAACATATGCTTATGTAAAACCCCCAAACAGCAAACAGCCATAAATGAAGCTGCACTGGTGAATGCTTGGGAGGACCCAGAAACCCACTTCTCAGACTCCCTGTCCCATTTATGACACCAACCAGCAGTCTCAAAACCAATGCACCCAACTGCTCATTTCCTTGTCATGGCTGCACAGTCCCAGCTGTACAGCTCCCAGCTGCCCCACTCAAGGTGCCTCTCCCCTGTAATTCCTCACTGCACTGACAAGCTTCCATGTCACTTTCCAAGCAGTAATGGTCTTGTCAAATTCACTCTGTGGTAAAAGGCCACACGATTCTAATTTTTTTTTTTTTTTTACTTTTTTCTTTTCTTTTTTTTCCCCTCAGGTGGGGGGGGGGCGGAGCATGAATTCCAGTCCCTCCCTACCACAAAACATGCAGTCAAGTTCCCCACATTTCTGGAAATCACACGGGACAACACATCCCGAATGCAATGGATGAGCCCTGCCCTGCGAAAACCACCTGTGTGATCACTAAATTTCTAATAGAAAGTATATTTCTGAAGCAATACCTCGACAGTTTCATGCTGAAATCATACAAAAAGCAAAATCTTTACTTAAGAGAAATTAAGCTGGCTAGTATTTTACTTAAATAATCAAAGTAAGGCAATGTTACCTTGGACGGTCTTCCCCAAGTAGTCCCCTTTGCGCTCCTTGTTGATGACATACTGGTAGATCTTGCCAGTGGTCAGGTTGTTGTCCTTGGTGAGGCGGATGTCGAGGAAGCGTTCATAGTTACCCAAGTCCAGGTCTACTTCCCCACCATCATCCAGCACAAAAACCTCACCTGCAGGAAACAGGAGCATATTTAGGTAAGAGAGAAACACATGTACCAAGGGCACAACAGGCCTTCTGGAGTATAAAGGTGATCGCTCCTTTCAGCAAGTCAGCAAACCTACAGGAAGCTATAAAAAGGCACAGGATGGGAGAAATACAGCCCAAGGGGCTAGATGTGGGGATAAAAACAAACAAACAAACAAAAGAAGGCATCTGCTGTTGGGGAAACAGAACTTGTGGAAATCTCCTGAGCAGAATCAGGTTCATGACACATTTCCAGAAACTTTTTGAAGACTCCTGATGTGCTCACAATTCAAGCTTTTTTTGCACCAAGTCAAACTTATCTTTTAATCCTATTTTTTTAAACAAACTTTTTGGAGTGCCCTAATAAGACATATGCATAGGAAGGGTACTGTGTGTCTATCATAAAAATCAGCTCCCAGACTACACTGTGTCCCAAAGTTTATCCCACTCACTTCACAATGATGCCCTGTAGCTTCACTATAGAATGGCCCAGGCCTAACATCACAATGGTACACAACTCAGAGCCCGGCAAGGAAGCAATAGCATCTTCTCCATTCCCACAGGAGAACTCCCAGGCAGCCCAGCAGACCAGTCACAAGGAGTTCTGCGTCAGCCACTCCAATTCCTAAAGATCCCACCTCAACACTAGAGAGAAGTGTTAAGGCCACAGCATGTTAAACGTTACCAGGAGGTTTCACTGGTTTGTCACGCTCCAGTTTCAAACAATAAATCTCTGAAGTCACTCAGTCACACACAATTGATGGTACTCAGTAATGACGAAGAAATAAAGTACTGTTTTCCAACCCTCCCTTGCAAGTTTCCATTTCTCACTTATTTCTCACTCACATCAGAAGTCCTTGTTTGAATTTTCCAAGCTATGCTAGCAAAACAGCATGCCAAATTCACAGATCTTCCAAACCCAGCACCCCTCCGCTATATAATTCCACACAGAGGTCTGTTAGCCTCTGTGTGGATACCTCCATGACAGGAGACCCATGATTTAAATGTTTATATATATATATATATATTTTTTTAAATTAGAGTCACAGAGATAGATGGAGTAACAGAAGCAGAGGCTTCCATTCAATGATTCACTGCCCAAAGGGTTGTAATAGCCAGGACTGAGCCAGATCAAAGCCAGATCAACCTCATGAATGCAAGGCCCAAGGGCTTGTGTCATCTTCTGGTGCTTTCCCAGGTACACTAGGGACCTGGATCAGAAATGTAGCAGGGCCCGGTGCTACAGCCTAACAGCCAAAGTCCTCGCCTTGCACAAGCTGGGATCCTATATGGGCACTGGTTCATGTCCCAGAGGTCCTGCTTCCCATCTAGCTCCCTGTTTGTGGCCTGGGAAAGCAGTTGAGGACGGCCCAAAGCTTTGTTTGGGACCCTGTGCCTGTGTGGGAGACCCAGAAGAGCTCCTGGCTCCTGGCTTTGGATTGGCTCAGCTCCAGCCATAGCAGCCACTTGGGGAGTAAATCAGCAAACAGAAGATCTTCCTCTCTGTATATCTGACTTTCTACTAAAAAGAAAAAGAAAAAGAGAGAGAAAGAAAGAAAGAAAGACAGACAGACAAAGAGAAAAAACAAAGAGAAAGATAAGGAAGGAAGGGAGAGAGGAAGAGAGGGAGGAAGGGAAAAGAAAAGAGAAGAAGGAGAGAAAGGTATTTAGGTAGGTAGTAGCCACTAGGATGCCAGCATTGCAGGCAGCAGCTTTACTTGCTATGCCACAGCACCAGCCCCATCTTCTTGAGGCATGTTGCAAACAGCAGCTTTTTGGACTTGACTCATGATACCTGGGTGGCAACATCATGGGCAACACCATGGACACCACTCTTGCAGGGTACCTGCCTTCACATTCAGGAAGATCTTTCTTACACTGAGCTAGATCCATTTCCTTAGAACTCTATCCACTCATCCTGTTTTTAAAGATGAGCATTCTCCCTCTTCTCAAGCACTGAACAAAGTTATAATGCCATCCTACATCTCTTTTCAGCATTATTTATTTATTTTTACTTTTTGAGAAAGAAATGTATTTTGCTTACCATGCTCATAAGGAGAAAAGGTTCCCGCATCGATGTTTATGTAGGGGTCAATCTTGATGGACGTCACGTGTAGACCGCACGACTTCAGTATTGTGCCCACACTGCTGGCAATGACTCCTTTCCCAATCCCTGATATCACCCCGCCAGTAACTAGAATGTATTTCATTTTAGTTTGTGACCTGCAAGGACAAATTACAAAGGAAATATGTTAACAAATCAAACCAACCTGCCTGGTTCAAATGCCGACCCTGCCACAAACCTCCACTCCTCCTCGGCAAACCTCACCCTTCCTTTCCTGTCACTTGGCTCTGAAAGACTGGTCGGGTTTAAACAACATCCTAACAAATGTTTCTTAGGTCATCTGAATAGTACACATATGCCAAAAAACTGCTATTCAAACAACACAGCTTTGAAAAAACCTTGAGAATCAAATTTTAGCACAAGAGCAGCTCACAGCTGGTTGATAAAACGCCATGCCCCAAATCCAGGCTGAGATCACTGCCAGATATTGGGAGAGCAAGCAGGTGCCTCATTACTTCCCCTACATGGGAAAAATTTTTTCAGACTTGGACATGCATGCCATATCTTCCCAAAAGAAACAATGTGGCACATCAGCCCACCCCACAGAACAGGCAGGAGACTAGCGGAGAGGACTGCCTGGATTAAATCCAAACAGCAGGGCTGTGGTTGAACAGACTTGGAGATGACAGGCGGATGCCACGAGAGCAGAGTGAGTACGAGCAGGAACACAGCACGTTCTGGAAGGAGACGCTGAGGACTTTTCCCCAGCCCCCAACTCAGAGACCTAGAAACACCATGCAGCTGGCAATTCCACATGGGAAAACAAGCAGCACAACCACCGGGCAGCGGAGAATGCTTGCTTGCTTTGGCTTCTCAGAACGTTTTCCCCTCTGGCAACCCATGAGAAGCCAAGTTTGAGCAAAAAAAAAAAAAAAAAAAAAAAAACAAAGCCCAAGACCTGAGCAGGGGAAATGGGGGTTCTGTGCGAAGTACCCCCTCCCAGCAGGAATGAGCACACTTGGTACAAAAGTGAGAATGCACAGGACGGCTCCCCCCACAGAGAGAGGGAGAGTAAGACCCAGGGAAGTTACCACGCAGCCCCTCCGGCCTCTGCTACAGCCCTTTCCAAAGTTTCTACAAAGCACACATAAGATTCTCAAAACAGGTTTTATAAAAAGATGAACCAAAATGCAGGGTGTAAGCCCAGGCATTTGGTTCCTTCATACAAAAACGCTGGAGCATTTTCAATAATCCGCACTGGGCTTTGCCTTCAGGATTCCACAGTACACAGATTACCCCACCCCACAAATCCCCTGACCAAGTCCCTACTATTTGGGGGTAACACACGAGTTCAAATGACAGCTAACCCATCCTTCCTGACACTTGAATCTCAGACTTGGCTACTTTCTGGATCTGCCTTAGCCATACTCCCTACTGAGACTACACTCTTACTCTGCCACATTTCCTAAATTCCTAGAAATTCCTCCTCCTCCTCCCAGAGCCGGTTAGTCACAACATGGATTCCTTCTACAGAATCCTGTCTCACCCATCTGCAGGCCATCTGCCCCAAGTGCACCTCCCTCTTTCAGATCTCCCACAGCAAGGGCATTGAATACTGCAGGCCAGTGACCCGGTGGGAGCCCCCCACACACACAGGGTGCTGCGCCCCTCACTTCTGGGGATCACAAACACTTTTTCAGCTCGGAGTCGCTCTCTCAAATTGTTGCCAGTCCAGCCGCCAAGAATAAATATGGACAAATAACGGGAAACTAGTGATGGCAGGAAGCAGAGAGACAGCATCCGGAGGCGATACAAGGGGAATCAGGGTGAACGGGGAGCCTCAGTGCCAAGACCAAGGCAAGCCCGGGTCAGAGGAGGTACAGGGCACAGGGGAGGCTCCCATCTGCACACCTGCTCTGCCACGGGCCCTGCCAGCCGGCCTGTGCCAAGGGGACAGAATGGACAGGCAACACAGGCGGGGCCGAGACAAGCACGAGGGGAAGGGCGTGCGCCAGGCGACCAAGCCTGCATGGCCCATGTGAACTTTCTTCCAGAAGGGACGGACCCGTTTTCAAGTACCAAAGCAACACACATCAAGGGGCAACCGAAATTCCACGATAGGGTGGAGGCGGCAGAGTGAAGCTGCTTTGGTATTTCCTCCCCACCCTGCTCAAGTTGTGAGGTCGAATCCTAGCCCCAGATCGGCAGTGGGAGACCTGAGTCACGTCACAGCCCAGCCGGGCCGCTGGAGCCCTTAAGCTCGCCCCGGTAAAACGGGGTCAGACTCGGTACCGCCGCGCGGGGCTGTCGAGGCCTCAGTGACAACGAGCATGGCCGTGCTGCGCCAGGCCGCCCTGCGAGGACACAGGCCCCTTTCCCTCACGCGTGCCCAGAGGACCGACGAGGTGGCGGCCAGAGGCCCACCCCGTGGCAAGGCAGGAGGCCTCGGCCACGGACCCCCCCACTGGCCCCCCAGCCCGGGGAGGCCACGCCCGCGGGACCTCAGCTGCGGACGGGAACAGGGGCGCGGGCTTCCTCAGGCTCGACTGAGCGAAAGGGGGCTCCACAGGGCTCCATCCCTCCTGTAGGCCAGACCTGGAGGCCCCGGGGCTGCCAGGCGCCGCCACGCGGCTC